AAAAGTCAGCGCGAGAAAACATTGTGTGCCGTGCCGGGATTTGTTTTTGCTTTTTAATTTTATGCTGTATTTTAGGCGTAACTTGCTTCAAACATCAAACAACATATTCACTAAAAAAGATAAGTATATTTCTAGTGTTGTTATTTAAAAATAAAGTTAAATGAACTTCTCAGCTCTCTACTAGCCTAGTTAGGCTATATGTAGGCCTAGGCCTAGAGCGTTTTAGTATCCAGCCCAGCCTAGGGGTCCTAGGCTAGGCCTATACAAGCTTAGCTAGTAAAAAAACACTGACAGTAGCAGTTGCTAGCCAAGTTGCGCATTTCCTGCAGACAGACCCCATGGCACTAGCCTGGACCCGATTATATGGATCCTAGTGATAGTAGAGGGGTGGGGGTGGAGGGCGTATCGTCTGTCTGTTGGACCGGAACACGCAATTGGCCTTTTTTTAATCAACATATATTTTTATTTATTTCAAATTGTTGTTTTTCCATCTTTTTAGCCCACTCTCTGAGAGTGAGGGCTTACATGATGATTCTGAGCGAATTTTGAAGTCATTTGTTTTTCTATCTCTTCCTTCGTTTGTGACGCGATTAGGCCGATCTTGCAATAATATGTAAGATAAGGCGTGGGGAATTTAAAGTATGAAGAGTTTTTGCGAAAATATTGTCGGGAAATATGTGAAAAGTATGTTTTTTTTTAATCATATTTCTTAACACTACGGTGGGTTTCCTATGAAAGCGTGTTCGTCATTGATCAGATTAGTAGCGATGAGTGTATGTGTGCAGCACATTTCGTGTCAGTGTACTGTAATGCAGGCTGGCCTGACGAAGACGAATAGGCTGACTCAGGGACGTAGCCAGGATTTTGAAAGGGGGGAGCTGTTATGCGAATTACGAAGGACCCCGCCGGGGTCAAGGGGGCGAATCCCCCTGTGAGGTAGCGCACTCTGAACATTCTTAGGACTGTTTGAGAGGATAAAGTGAAAATTGCAATAGACACATTATAAATAAGCGCAAAATAATTACATAATAAATCAACAGTGGCAGATGCAGGAATTCGAAAGAGAGGTGAATAACCAGGGAGGGACATTCACAGACTGAGGAACCACTCACCTCAGCCCCACCATGGTTGGGGCTAAGGTAAAAAAATTTATGATTAGGGCATCTCTAGACGGCCGGAAATTTCACTCTCGCACTTCAATTTGAATATATTTTGGATTCAAGGTGGGGGCCTTGAATCCACCTCTGCTCAAAACATTCTTTATCCAGAATAGTTATAATCACGAAAAATGGACATGAAAAACCAGATCACATCCTAAAAACAAACAGCAGTCACTAAGACATACATCAGGAGCCGACTCGATGGAGTTTAATGTCATACCCAGGGAAGGACACAGATCTGTTTTGAAAGGTGGAGGGGGAGGGCATTTTTTGAGTCGACATCCACCTCAGCCCTACCATGGTTGGAGCTGAGGTGAGAAAATAGTACCTCTAGATGGCCAGAAATGACACTTTTAGTAAAATTCATCATCATCGATACATCACCATTAGTCAAAATGAAGCGCCAAAAACAATTCTTATGATCTTTTATCAGGGATTGTTGACAACCATAGAGATCTTATTAATGTTTGTGTGTGATATACCACAGAAAACAAAGCGTAAAAACATTGTCTTTGAGTATGTACTTTACATAGGGCTACTTCAAAAATGTGATTTCACAACCACCTCAGCCCCACCATGGCTGGGGCTGAGGTGAGAAAATTTGAGGAAATAATATCTCTCGAGATGGCCGGAAATGACACTTTTATATAGTAAAATTCATCATCATCACATCACCATTATAGTCAAAATGAAACGCCAACAAATTTCTCATGATCTTTTATCAGGGATATACTTAATATCAGGACAACTTAGGCCTAACTATAGCTTACTAAGCTTTAACTATATATACTATATTATGATCAACAAATCACAACTTTTTTTTCGCATTTAGCACAATTTTCTTCACTTTTTTTGCTATTAATATTATTATCAATTATTACTATCGTCATCATCATCATTGTTATTATTATTAGTAGTAGTAGTATTATTAAACAAAAATTTAAAGAAACTTGGAAAAGGATAAAAATGAAATTAAACCACAGTATCGCATTTCTATCTTAAAAGCCCTGGCCTGAAATTTATGGATTTAAGATTTTTTTAAATCACGCTTAGGCCTATGTGTTCCATTAGGCCTATGTATAACGTGTACTGATGCATATTTACATGATGTGTATAAGAGACAGGGGCTTACATGATGATTCTGAGCGAATTTTGAA